CTTCCTAGTCGCTGCTCTTATCTGCTATTTATTTTTTATTTATAATGTTCTGAGGCGTACTCCGGAACAATTGGTCTTCTAAGAACTGGCACATCGACGACTTGGCTTCATGCAGGTCTGCGCTCGATCCCCGACGGTCCAAGAAGGTTGGGAACCGTTCCTTCATCCCCCCCCCCTATCCTAATCTCATATATTCCTTCCAAGTGTTATATTCGATACTAACCTTTTGCTGTTGTCACACAAGACACCAAACTGGTGCTCCAAGTGATCTTGGGATGTGAAGTTACCTTGAGGTTACCTTGAGGTGCTTCCGGGGCTTAGCGTCCCCGCGGCCCGGTCGTCGACCAGGCCTCCTGGTTGCTGGACTGATCAACCAGGCTGTTGGACGCGGCTGCTCGCAGCCTGACGTACGAGTCACAGCCTGGTTGATCAGGTATCCTTTGGAGGTGCTTATCCAGTTCTCTCTTGAACACTGTGAGGCGTCGGCCAGTTATGCCCCTTATGTGTAGTGACGAAGTCCCGAAGCTGGTAAACTGTTTAAGACAGACTAAGCCGTGGTGATTGAGGAAAGATGTACAGGTTTTGTCACTGATGATTGATGAAGATTAAGCCACCAAAGATGTGGCACGGGCATGAATAGCCCGTAAGAGTGATGAATCGTGGGCCTGGCCTCGTATATTTCTAAGTCGGCTGCCTTCCGTACTCGCAGCATCCGCATCTATCCCTTCATCTCTTATTTTAACCTGAGATGAGACAATGTTGATTACAACATTAAAACTAAATAGCGCGTTATAACCTTAGTCATAATTGCTTATGGTGAAAATATATATCATTGAAACTGTCCATCTTGCAAGAAAAAATAGCCGTCTTATTTTCCGAGAAGATTAAAGTGAGCAGCAGAATATCTCAATATGTTAAGAGTCAGGTGTAGCAACACGTGTTGCTTGCCAGCCACACACCCGGGGTAGTCCCATATCCTAGACAGGTGTTTCGACACAGGTGTTGGATTGTCAAAGACATGTGCACCTTTAGGTTAGGTTCTTCGCCTCGGTTAGTTTTGGTTTCGGTTGGGTTAGAATAGGTTAGACCAGATCAGGTTAGGTTGGGGTAAGGTCAGGTAGGTTTTAACACCCCCCTCTCAGTCACCCAGGGCCACTAGCCCTCAGTCACCCAGGGTCACTAGCCCTCAGTCACCCAGGGGCCACTAGCCCTCAGTCACCCAGGGTCACTAGCCCTCAGTCACCCAGGGCCACTAGCCCTCAGTCACCCAGGGTCACTAGCCCTCAGTCACCCAGGGGCCACTAGCCCTCAGTCACCCAGGACCACTAGCCCTCAGTCACCCAGGGGCCACTAGCCCTCAGTCACCCAGGGGCCACTAGCCCTCAGTCACCCAGGGGCCACTAGCCCTCAGTCACCCAGGGGCCACTAGCCCTCAGTCACCCAGGGCCACTAGCCCTCAGTCACCCAGGGCCACTAGCCCTCAGTCACCCAGGGCCACTAGCCCTCAGTCACCCAGGGGCCACTAGCCCTCAGTCACCCAGGGGCCACTAGCCCTCAGTCACCCAGGGGCCACTAGCCCTCAGTCACCCAGGGGCCACTAGCCCTCAGTCACCCAGGACCACTAGCCCTCAGTCACCCAGGGGCCACTAGCCCTCAGTCACCCAGGGGCCACTAGCCCTCAGTCACCCAGGGCCACTAGCCCTCAGTCACCCAGGGCCACTAGCCCTCAGTCACCCAGGGCCACTAGCCCTCAGTCACCCAGGGCCACTAGCCCTCACAGTCACCCAGGGGCCACTAGCCCTCAGTCACCCAGGGCCACTAGCCCTCAGTCACCCCAGGGCCACTAGCCCTCAGTCACCCAGGGCCACTAGCCCTCACAGTCACCCAGGGGCCACTAGCCCTCAGTCACCCAGGGCCACTAGCCCTCAGTCACCCAAGGCCACTAGCCCTCAGTCACCCAGGGCCACTAGCCCTCAGTCACCCAGGGGCCACTAGCCCTCAGTCACCCAGGGCCACTAGCCCTCAGTCACCCAGGGCCACTAGCCCTCAGTCACCCAGGGCCACTAGCCCTCAGTCACCCAGGGCCACTAGCCCTCAGTCACCCAGGGGCCACTAGCCCTCAGTCACCCAGGGTCACTAGCCCTCAGTCACCCAGGGCCACTAGCCCTCAGTCACCCAGGGCCACTAGCCCTCAGTCACCCAGGGGCCACTAGCCCTCACAGTCACCCCAAGGCGACCAACCCTTATGTAGCAAATAACAGTCACTCACTCACAGAGCCACTCACAGTCATCAAAGTCCAATTCCTCCGCTCCGCTTACGTGACCCTAAGTAGCCAGCGGCAAAAAAAAGTAAGCAGACCAAGTCGGGAGGCCAGCCAGCTGGAGCGTCCGGACGGGCTGCCGCCACTTTTAAAGCCGATCGATCTACGGCGACGCCTCTCTCAGAGTCCTGGCGTGACCGCCGCCGCCAGACACAAAGTCCAGCCCCCTTCTCCCGCCTCTTTTGAGCCGCTCATTGTGTCATCCCGGACGCCTATCACCCGGGCTGTGCTCACGACGCCCCCACACACACACTCACTCGCCCTGTGGAGTAACTGTGACAGGATCACACAGCCACATGTAATCTCTAGGGAGCCAGATTCACGAAGCAGTAACGCAAGTACTTACGAACCTGTACATCTTTTCTCAATCTTTGGCGGCTTTGTTTAGAATTATTAAATAGTTAATGAGCTCGGAAGCACCAGGAGGCTGTTTATAACAATAACAACAGTTGATTGTGAAGTTTTCATGCTTGTAAACTGTTTAATAAATGTAACCAAAGCCGTCAAAGACTGAGGAAAGATGTACAGGTTTGTAAATACTTGCGTAACTGCTTCGTGAATCTGGCCCAAGGAGCTGGGACATCCGCAGGGAACAGTCATTGACGTTTGGATGTGTAACAGGTTTTTATCTACATATTGTACAGAATTTGCATGTAAATGAATCTTTTTAAATTCAAGTCAATTTGATTTTTTACTCATTGTGTTTTTAACTTAATTCCTTAATTTTCACACTGAGGAAATAGGAAATATATGTGATTCTGCCTTTGCTTTATCAGAGAGTAAGCTCCGAGGAAACGTGAATGGCGTCCCCGAAGGGCGTCCCCTGGAGGGCGTCCCCTGGAGGGCGTCCCCTGGAGGGTATCCCCTGGAGGGCGTCCCTGGAGGGCGTCCCCTGGAGGGCGTCCCCTGGAGGGTATCCCCTGGAGGGCGTCCCCTGGAGGGTATCCCCTGGAGGGCGTCCCCTGGAGGGTATCCCCTGGAGGGCGTCCCCTGGAGGGCGTCCCCTGGAGGGCGTCCCCTGGAGGGCGTCCCCTGGAGGGTATCCCCTGGAGGGCGTCCCTGGAGGGCGTCCCTGGAGGCCGTCCCTAGAGGGCGTCCCTGGAGGGCGTCCCCTGGAGGGCGTCCCCTGGAGGGCGTCCCCTGGAAGGCATCCCCTGGAGGGCGTCCCCTGGAGGGTATCCCCTGGAGGGCGTCCCTAGAGGGCGTCCCTGGAGGGCGTCCCCTGGAGGGCGTCCCTTAGAGGGCGTCCCCTAGAGGCCATCCCTGGAGGCCGTCCCTGGACGGCGTCCCCTGGAGGGCGTCCCAGGAGCGCCCCTTAGCGGCCACCTCCCAGCAGCAGGGTGAGGGCGAGGGTGACCGCCTTAAGGACCACCTTCGGCCGGTCTGACTACCGGCATTAAGCGGATCAACGCCACAATGGTCTTCAAAGTAACTCCATAAAGTAACAAGTGCATGAACGAGGAAGTGAATTGTTAGCATCGGGAGGACAGTGGAGAGGTGGAGGGTGTTGGGGAGGGGGTCGAGGTGGGGAGGGGGTCGAGATGGGGAGGGGGTCGAGATGGGGAGGGGGTCGAGATGGGGAGGGGGTCGAGATGGGGATGGTGGGGGTGGAGTTAGTAATGTGGGTGGTGGGATAGGGTACAGAGAAAGGTGGGCGTATAAAAGTTTGGGTAATGTGGGAGTGAAGCAGAGACTCCTGTGCCAGGTAAGTCCACTACGGGCTCACCATAGCCCGTGCTACTTGCCCCGCTCCTGTGCCAGGTAAGTTCACTACGGGCTCACCATAGCCCGTGCTACTTGCCCCGCTCCTGTGCCAGGTAAGTCCACTACGGGCTCACCATAGCCCGTGCTACTTGCCCCGCTCCTGTGCCAGGTAAGTCCACTACGGGCTCACCATAGCCCGTGCTACTTGCCCCGCTCCTGTGCCAGGTAAGTCCACTACGGGCTCACCATAGCCCGTGCTACTTGGAACTTGTTCCCAGTAGCTGAATCTTAAACAACAAGAACGGGAGTGAACACAACTGCAGACTGTAAGGGGAGAGGATACAGCTGTATGAAACACTCGTGGTTTACAGCAGTTGAGCTTCAACTCATTGGTCCCGCCTTCTCCCCCCCCCCCCCACCCTCCTTCCCACCCCCAATATATCGACTAGGGTTGAAGTCTTTCTAAAAATACTTCATACATGTCCTTCCCAATCGGTCCCACTCGTTTTCCGTCATGGGATATTTCAGTAACACGAAGTCTGACTATCTGGCCGGCCATCAATTGCCTGGTTATAAAAGATTTGCATCAATTAAAGCAGGTAACGCTCAGACAAGCAGACGCAGACCTGACACAGCAGCCGGGGACCCCTGAGGCAGTGTTGGAGGTCTGCTTTAACATTCGTTCACTGTCTATCACAGCCTGGTTGACCAGACTACCAACCAGGAGGCTTGGTCGGGGACCGGGCCATGAGGACATTGATCCTCGGAACCACCTCAACATCAACTGTACATGTCTCAACCTTATTGTCTTCACTAAAGCCATTTGTAATTATACATGAATGATTTAGACACCAAATTAGCATATCAATGTTTGTACAAATATTATATACATGTATTTATCACATTTACAACATTGCAACAAAATAGTGAGGTAAGAGCCTTACCTTACAAGAGGTGGGAGGTAAGGTGCCTTACCTTAGTGGTGAAGGGAGTGTTGGGGAAGCGGTTGACAACCTGCTCTCTACTGACGTGCTTGAAGGATATAGAGTCTCTGGTCCACGTCCACAGAAAGTTGGGCTCTACGTTCCTCAGCAGCCTGGCCACCAGAGGCAGGTCCATGTCACAGAGCTCGTACTCTATATAAGGGCAGTATGGCTCCGGACTGGCCTCAGACTCATCGGCTCCGTTCTCCTTCCCTTCTTCCAACGGTGTCTCTTCTAACGTTGCTTCCCCGTTTTCTTTTGCTCCGTCCGACTCGATGTGGTCTAACATTAGTTCCTCATTTTCAGTTTTCTCTACATTGTCCTCGCATTTACTCTTTGGAATGTGTATTGTACTGTATTTGAATATTGTGGCGTTTTTCTCCGTCACGGACTCCGCTAATCCCTTCCTTATTTCAGAGGGGCCTAGTATGGCAGTGTTAAAGCTATCGAGATTATGTACAAGTTCCTTGGGGTTAGGGTTACTGGGCGCTTCTGGAACACTGGAAGACTGCCCCGGCACTTGACACTCTTGACTGGAAGTAGACAATACGTCTGTGTGTGAAGTTGGTTCAAAACCTGGGCTATCGTTTAGAGAAATCTCCTTTTCGGTCGGCACTATATTTTCTACATTGGAAGAACCTTGGTTGGCAGTGATCACTTTCTGTTCCTCGTCCGATTCTGATGATGAGGATAAAGGTGATGATGATGGTGATGTATGTAATGATGAATTCTCTGAAGAGAGAGGTGATGAATGAGGCAACGTGAGTGCGGGTAGAGCAGAGGCGTCGTCGCTCACACCTTCGCTCTCGTCTGTGTTAACGAGATCGTTGTCTTCCGTGTCGTCTTTGTCTTCTTCCGAGTCGCCGCAGCCGCCTACCGCGGCAACTGCGGCGTTCCGGTTAGATTGTGCGGGCGAGGTGCTGTGGGCGGACCCGGCGGTGGGCGGGTGGGCTGGGAGGGAGGTGGCCTGGTAGCCCACGTGGGGACACACACAGTTATTGGGGTGCGGGTTCACATAGGGAACAGAGTGCTGAATCTTCTCCACCCATCCTCTTCTCCTCAGAGCGTCCTTGATGGCCGGGAAGTAGCCGAATATGGAGAACACACGCCCCTCCTGACGACCACAACAAACACTCTTATTACTCTAACCAATATTAATGACTTCAACTTTCTTAGCGAATTTACTGTAATTAAATGTAAGTTACTGAGTGTTAAGAATATATACTTTTGTCATATCAGTTTGATATATATGTTTAGTTATGCAACATTACACGAATCATATTTATTATTAAGTTTAATTAAAGAAATCAAAATATTTTAGAACATTTAAATATTGACTGTGAAATTAAGGATTTGTCTATAGTAACTAACAACTTACCATAATGGCTCTTTCAGTAAATATTTTGACTTTCTTGATTTGCTCAAAGGACATCTGCTTAGAACGAGGCGAGATGCCCCCGAGGGAGGTGGAGGAGCCCTTCCTACCAGGGGACCTGGGAAGAGCCGGGCTGGTGGGTGCCAACCCGTGTTCACCTCCACCGCCTCCTGCAGCAGCAGCAGCGCGGCCGCTGGGGTGTCTGTGGCGAGGGTGAGGGGAACACCCTGGAGGGCTGAGCGACGTCGGCGCCTGCAGTTTCTTTTGTGGTGATCCAGAGGAGGAGGTGGAGGCGGCGCTGTTCTTGCTCTTGCTGTTCGGAATTTTAGCGGAGTTGATCTTGGAGGGCGTGGGAGCTGGGGCCTTGCTTGTGCTGGCCGAGGTCACGAGCGGCGCGATTGTGCTCTTCCGCGATGCTTTGGTTATGGACTCGCATTTAGAACACGTTATTTTAGAGAAGACGTTCCTGGACAATTTTGACGCGGGTATTTTCTGATTTACTGACGCCGACGAAGTAGATGTCGTCGATGTGGCTGACTTTGATGGACATTTATCATTCTCCTCCGGACTCTTGAGCGGCCCGCCACTTGTGTTGACCGAGTTCTCGTACTTGGTTTGGGTCATCGTAAACTCTTCGGATATCTTTTTGACGTGTCTTCTGACCGCGGTCGAGGGTCTGATATTCCCCTTAGCTTTCAGTTCTTTTTTGTATAACTTTGTTGTTCTCCTCCAGTCCTTGTTGTTGGCGAGGGGCTTGGTGTCGTGGACCCCGTGGGCTCCCTGGACCGCCGAGCTCACCGCCAGATAGTCTATGGTCGGCCTGATTTCTATGTTGTTGAAGGGAATGTTTCCGTGTCTCAGTATTGGGTTCAGCTGTTTTGATCCCGCTCCGAAGTGTTCTTGCATTTTAATAGCTCTTCCTGGGATGGCCACCTTCATTATTTGTGTTTGGGATAAAAATAAATCAGAGTTAGTTAATGCAAATTTAAATCTGGAATTTGACCGTCATATTGCCATGATTGGGTTCTTCACTTAACGAAAACTGTTTCGTAGACAATAGTGCGGCACGTGAGCGAGATACTTGCAGAGTGAAACTGCTTCCGTGGCACAGATATCATAGTGGGTGAGGGTGATGCCCGCGGCCTGTCAAGGACACCACCAGTCCCCCCCCCCCTAGCCTCTACTGCTGCCACCAGACGTTACTGCTTCCCAAACTACACACTCACGCTCCAAGATGTCAGCAGCCCTAGAGTACCTTCTCCGACTTTTCGTACAGTCCCTAAGACATCTTTACCTCTGCGGTGCGAGTGGTCTTATCTTTGTGAAGCGAGTGGTCTTATCTGTCCAGTGAAAGTTGCCTTATCTCTGCGGTACAAGTTGTCTTATCTCTGCAGTTCAAGTGGCCTTCTTATCTTTGCCGTGCAAGTCGTCTTATATCTGCGGTGCAAGTTGCCTTATCTTCGCGGAGCGAGTGATCTTATCTATACAGAGCGAACGGTCTTATCTCTGCTGTGCCAGCTGTCCTTTCCCCCCCCCCCTCTGGGGGCGTGAGCGCAGGGGTGCTGCGCGACGGGCGGACTCCTGCGGCTGCTGGAGGAGTCGGGGCGTGAGCGCAGGGGTGCTGCACGACGGGCGGACTCCTGCGGCTGCTGGAGGAGTCGGGTGGGGGAGCGTAATGTGGAGAGTCACGACCCCCACCCTTGTAGGCTCCCACACCATCCACCTCACCCCTCTCTCACCATCGTAATCCTCGCAGCTGTAAGGCGTGTCCTGAAAAACAAATGTAAACATTGCTTATGAAAAACAGTATGAGGAACTATGTTTTTATTGGGGAATTCAGTGAATTCTGTTTTGGGTATCTGATAGGTGTATATATATATATGGTTATATTTGTTATTTGTTAGTTTTGGCTAGTGTGGATAACTAGCTGTGTTTAGGTTGGTGGTCTCTGGGTCGTCTGTGACCCAGTTTCTACGATCGAGAGTTGGAGCCACCGCCATATTCAGTGTCCACTGTACCATAGCCCGCCTCGGTCGATACTGGTCCACACCCTGAGTGCACGCACGCACCCACGCTCTCTACATATACCAACGACACACACACACACACACAATGTTTGAATACATACGCACGCACTTGAGCTAGTATGCATGCACGTTAGTCTTTTTGACAAACGCACGCCATCCTGCCCAAACATGTACTCATGCAAGGCACGCCACACAATACAACTAATATTATTATGTGTCTGTAAAAACAATATGTTCCCACTCTCTCTCTTTATATATATATATATATATATATATATATATATATATATATATATATATATAGATTTCTTCTGAAAATGTATTAATATACGAAAGTACTTAAGGAAATTCCTGTTTCAATTCTTCCTCCGTGGTCTGACACTGTCACATTTTTCATCACGTGTTAATTTTCGAGATTTACACACATATATATGTGTGTACTCACCTAGTTGTCTCACCTAGTTGTGTTTGCGGGGGTTGAGCTCTGGCTCTTTGGTCCCGCCTCTCAACCGTCAATCAACAGGTGTACAGATTTGTGTGTGTGTGTGTGTGTGTGTGTGTGTGTGTGTGTGTGTGTGTGTGTGTGTGTGTGTGTGTGTGTGTGTGTGAAAGGTTGCAGGAACACGCAAGCCATATATCACTAACAACTTCAAATGCCCCGGCCAGGATTCAAACTCATGACGTCCAGGATCACTTCTAAACGTACACAGTACCGTCACCACTGCCCCATTGATAAGCCCAACTCTTGGACCATCGGGGATCGAACCTCAACCTCCGTGAAGCGAAATCGTCGCCGTAAATTTTTGGATTTTGATCTTATAAAAACAAAAAACAGTTCCTAAAAAATCATCAAAGTTAGATAAAAGTTACTGCGTGTGACCAGTTGTGACAAATTGTATAGTTGCATATTCATATTTTAAAATATTACGAAACTGATCCACACGGAAGTAGAATGTTACCAGTTTATATATATTACAAATTATCTCAATATATAAATCATACCATGCGAGACCACCGTTAGCGTTATATGTATACAGATTTTCCAGTAAATCCCCATAATCTTATATATATATATATATATATTAGATTACTTCTACCTTTTGAAAACATTTGGAAAATGTATAAATTTTGTGAGGAAACCGCACACAATCCTAGCATTGCTCGGCCCTGCTGTGTGCGCGCGCGCCCAGACCGTCCTGTCGAGCGCTCCCAACGTCACAAAACGGATGTACTAAATTACCCGAACCTAACCTAACCTAACCGAGGATCCACAAATAGAAAACGGAACATCAAGTAAATTTTACGAGCCGCTATGATTGTTAGAACAACAGTTTTAGGCCTCTGGGGAATTTATATGTCAAACTACGACGTGTATACTATTGTAATGAGGTTGATATCTGTTTGTATCTGTACTGTAATCAATTACTATAAACACCCTCCCATCACTTCCTACAGGTACCCATATTATATATATATATATATATATATATATATATATATATATATATATATATATATATATATATATATATATATATATATATATATATATATATTAGCTTAGCGTTGGCCCCTTAATATAGTTTATAAGTTAATAAACAGTTTAGAAGCCCCCGAAACACAACAATAATAACTTTGGCTTGTGAAGTTTCCAAGCTCTTAACTGCTCAATAAATACAAGCCACTATGATTGAGAAAGGATGCACAGGTTTCGTAAGTGGAGACACTTTGCGGATCCTAAAACTGGATAGAGAAGGTCGTCGGGGTACCGATCCTTCACGGGTTGCCTCTGTTCACCCAGCAGTAATTGGGACCTGGTTGTGTAGCGATTGGCGGGTCGTGTTCCAGGGCAAACGAGTATGGTAAGGCTTAATATAAGCTACAAGATGGGGGTCTCTCTTTCTCTCCGGCCCGTTCTCTATGAACGAGGTCCTGAGTAAGAGACAGGAGAGGTCCTGAGTAAGAGACAGGAGAGGTCCTGAGTAAGAGACAGGAGAGGTCCAGACAGTAAGAGACAGGAGACGAGGTACAGAGCCAGGGACAGTAAGATGAAGGCTGGTGTGTAGCCAGGGGCAGTAAGATGAAGGCTGGTGTGTAGCCAGGGGCAGTAAGATGAAGGTGGGTGTGTAGCCAGGGACAGTAAGATGAAGGCGGGTGTGTAGCCAGGGACAGTAAGATGAAGGCGGGTGTGTAGCCAGGGACAGTAAGATGAAGGCGGGTGTGTAGCCAGGGACAGTAAGATGAAGGCGGGTGTGTAGTGAAGCAGGTAAACAATGCGTGCAGTAGCCATATATATCAGACCCCGACGGTGGCTCCGTGTACCAGCGCTACAATACTCCCACCAGGCTCCCACCAGGCTCCCACCATATATCACACCAGATCTCCCACTATAATCGATTCATTGCTCCGAGCTCGCCAATCCCAAGCGGGCTTTTTTTTCCCAAATTAGGTTCATTTAACTCTGGAGACGTGGAGGCCAGGCCAAACTTATGGCAAAAATAGCAAATATAATACACTATGTATAATTACTTAATACATCAGGATTAGAGACCTAGATTAAAGGATAACCATAATTGGGTATGCACAATAACATACTCTTTCAACCTGCTAAAACTATTTGATGTTTTTGAAACACAAGAAATACCGCGAGTTCAAATACTAGGCTGTGATAGAAACATTGAAACAAAGTCGTTTAAATAACGGGTAAGCGCGTACATTTCCAACATACAACACTGTCCTCTCATTTGATTCACAAAATTTGTTACACTATAAAGCCCCCAACGTAAAAATTGCGGTGGGGTTACAGGAAAAATAAAAACCGCGAAATTTACGTTTCCTAGGATGAATGCGCTCGCATGGCGGCAGTAATAATAGCGGCCGACCGTTAAACTAATAGGTCGCGTTTTGTACGTTATGGTAACCAATGGTACAACTGCAACCTCGACAGGTTGGGACTCGATAGTTACATCAAGTTGTTGTGATTTCATTGTTGCATTTAAAGGATGAAGGGTCGAAATTATAAGCTCAGACGAGCTTATAGAAATGAAGAAATTGTAAGAAATTATATGTCTTACAAAGAAATGTAAGAAAATATTCCTTAATATAAGTGTAATGAGCAAGTGGGACGAGTTCAACTTGAGGTTAACTCCATATTAAGTTTCAAGATTTGATATAAGATGCAAGAGGGTCAAAAGCCATTATTGCAATAGACGATACAATTGTAGTCTCCCCCCCCCTCTCCACGGCCACTAAAAGGCGGGGGTCCAAGAGCAAAATGCCGCCTTACAAGAATATATACGCGAGTACCTTACATCTCGTACTGGGGCCTGCATATACCCCACCCACACCACCACCTCCGGAAGCACAACTAGATAACTACATCACATACGCTCTAGAAGTAAGTATGAAGGAGTGGGGCAGTTACCCAGGGTGTGGGGGGTGTGTAGTCACCCAATTTGAGGCAGCAACTAGTATTTCAAGTCTAGTACCAAGTCTCCCACACTAGCACCAGTTATGAGGGGCCATTCTCCACATTAGCCTACATAAATCAACATCATGTCTCTCTTAACTTAACCAAGATCAGCCTCGCTAAACAAAAACTGAATTCCAGCCAAAACGTTTTAGCTCTAATACATAAATATATTTTACAGTGAAAATTAAATGCAGGTTGTCCGTTGCATAGTTTATATATTTAATACTTTCCACGGTTCTGGTAGGTGGTATTGTGGTGGTGAGAATAGCGTTACGGTGTATTGTGGTGGTATTGGTATAAATGATGGTGTGCGGAGGTTGTATGGTGCTGTTGAATGATGAGGTATTGTGTAATGCTGTGTGGTGCTGTGTGGTGTTTAGTAGTGTGGTATTGTATGGTGCTGTGTGGTGATAATTTAGGTTAGATAAAATGCAAGTATCACAGGCAGTTTGAGAGACCATGGGGACTATGTGAGAAGATTATATCAGGCTGCGGAACACATAGACAGTTATCAAAAGAAAAAACATTATAAGTGTGTCGTGCCCAACCAACATTCCTAAAACCTGGAGCGAGCGGGAAATTTTGACCACTCTAACATACATAAATACATACATACTTACATACATAAGCGCACGAAAAGAAATCCACTTATGTATACAGTTTACATTTTAATGGGTTTTAATTTTTTCTTTACTCTGTAAGGAAAATGCCTTTTTGCTTGCCGAAAAAGCATATGTATATTATATAAACCCACCGAGGCTTTGCAATCACAGCTCTGATGCTTTGTTGCACGCGAGGTGGAGGTGCTGTGTTCTGTTTAACAGGTTACCCACAGCGTGCCTGCCTGCCTGCCGGCCACAAGGAGCAATGCAAAAAGGCACTTTTTTGCATATTATCGACTTTATCATTAACAATGGGGCCCCCAAGAACAGGTCAGGGGAGGGGGGCGTTTGTCTGTTGGGCCTGAGTCTGATGCTCATGCAGAAACTGGAAGCCTCGTAGTACTTGCGAGAATCGTGTGTAAAGAGAGAGAGTGCACCTGTATTGGAAGCCTAGTAGTAATTGTGGAAGCCAAGTAGTACTTTTGTGGAAGCCTAGTAGTGTTTGAATGAGGGTGAAGTAAAGACCCAATATATGTGTAAATATATTAAAAACCAAATTTTCGGATGTAGCCAACATCCATTCCCAAGGTACCGAATACAGCTCTCAAATTCTATTCAGTATCTTGAGCAAGGATGTAGGCTACCACTGAAAAATTTGGTTTATAACTT